GTCTATTTATTTTGCCAGTAAAAGTGTGCACCAACAACCATGAAAATATCTTATTTACCCTCAAAACTCACTCGAAACCTATAAACACAAAACAATAGTGCAAATTCATCATAAAACATGTTTTGGAACTAATGAAATCATCGTATTTAAAAAAAATAGTTATGACCGAAATACCCCCTCGGAACCCATTTATGTAAAACTATTCAATTTTTTACCTAAATATCCAAATCACAACCTAAGGTCTCGGGACTCTAACCAATCATCTTACTAGACAAAACTCGACATTCCAGATTCAATGAAACTGACTGAATCCCCATATGACGCTCGAAACTCATAATATTTTAGAATTGTCATGGTACAGGATTATTTGGACTACAAGATCAAACCAGATTATAGAGCAAGATTTTTATGTAATGGTCAACAAATTGGAATTCATTTATCAACATATTTTTTTTCTTGGCCAAAGTCAACCATATAAAAAATTCTCAACTCAAAAGGGGAAAAATCACCAAACGAGCTTTCCTGCGCTGGCACCTATGAAACACAAGTATCATTTTGCGGCACATGTGTATCTTCTGGTGACTTTGTCTTCTTCCTGCATTGTATTATGAAATGTAGGGGAACATTTGTGGCACATGTGCTCTTGCCAATTTATAACAACTTATTTTCAATTCAAATTATTCTTTATCTTCATATCTATTAAATGCCTACACACAAGAGAATAAGGGCCTAAAATTTCTTCAATTAACATTAAAACAAGACAGTGACTCATTGCTTAAGATTTGAATTATTTGGTAAAATACCAACTTTTCAATCACCCAACTAGGCTTTCCAAATTTTGTTAACAAAAAACTTTGAGTTGAGAAAATTAATAATCAAGAAAAGAAAATTGAGTAACAAATGTAGTGTTTTATTTTAATTATAGTGAGTGTTACAATCTCTATGATAATCCTCTAATTATCCTAACAATAATATAAACTATGTAGAACTTAAATTCAGTTTAGATTAGAGGGCTTGAGTAGTAAGTTGATCTTGAATCTTTGTCTTGATTTGAATTTTTCACCATGAACACTTGGATGATTTCCATGAATAATGAATATAGATTTAACAAGCATGTATCTTGATCTTGAACGCCTTGATACTTGCCTTTATTCTTGAACTTGTAGCATATAGAGAATTTGTGGTCTTAGATCCATGAGATCTCTTCTTGCTTTTTGTGCTTAATCTCCTCCCCTTTGTGAGCTATGAAGACCTATGTTTATAGTTGTAGGAAGTGGTGTAGTTGTGTTATTTAATTGGTCGGTTTGAACTGATCAATTGCATTTATATGGTGGCAAGCTTCAACTTAATTTACCAGAACTAGTCATTTGCACACTTGACATAATATCATTGACTCCTTTAATTGACTTGGATTGCCACGTCATTTGACATGAGCCATAATTTCAGTCAAGGTCGTCTCAACAAGTTTGAAGGCCTAAAGCCAGACTTTATAGAGAGACCTTATTACTTTCGTAAACATATAGAAATTGAGTAATTATAACATACTCAGTGTAAACCTATGTAAGAGGTCTAGATAAGTTGGATATATGCGGACATTATGAATTAAGCATGCAAATAATGTAAATTTTCAATAAAAAAATATAGAGAGAAGTATTGAAAACACCCTTAAACTCGGCGTGAATTATTAGTTCCATTTCCAAACTATTCACATCCTTAAAAGAACCCCTTTACTTGACTAATTGAACTTCTATACAACTCCGATCTTGCAACATGAGTGAAATACACTTTTAAATTCTTGCCAAGTTTAGAGGTGTTTCTGACACTTCTCTTGGCTTTTTATTAATATCACATCCGAGACTACCCCTAGTCATAACACGACGGTTAGAGTAACAAGTTACACCAAACTAACCCTTGATACTACCATAGTCATGGAGAACTAAATATGAACATGTAAAAGAACTAAAAGCAAAGCATAATGATGTACTACTAGTTCAATATATTTTTAAACAAAGTTTTGTACACATCAATTGTAATGTAAAAAGAATATGGAATAAAATAGACTGAATATAGTAACTCTAACTCACTGTCTGTGAAGCCTATACTAATATTGATTATAGTAAGTCAGGACATGACCCTTGCTCCATTTAATCAATACATTCGAATAGAAATAACATACTAGAACTACAAACTGACTTGATTACTCAAAATAACAGAACTCATCACATGTTGGCTAAAAGATGTGATTCAACTGACTAGGATCCTGATTGTAAGGGCCTGAATTTACATCACATAAAAAATGTAGGCACAAGAAGTATGTGAATCAGTACTCTGAATGTACTAAGTATAAGATATATGCATGATAATTTTTAAATTTGGGTATGATGAATTTGAGATGCTAAACTGAATATGAAACTAAAATACATGAACGGATGCAATGATCAAGTAGTAAAACATGCAACTGATAAATACTGAAATTGAACTAACTGAATGTAAGGTCAAAGAAATAATCTGAAAAACTAAATTGTGGGAGATACCGTTAAGCGACAATAGACCATGAGATCAATAACATGGAATCGGGTGTAACCCTCACACCAAAACGAGAGAGTCCTACTTGCCAAGGTAAGACTCTGTCTCACTATTATTGTTAAAGTGGATCCACTAGCTAATGTCTATCTGAAACAAAAACCTATGGTGGCACGTAGTTCTGGAAATTAGGGATTACTACTAAAGGTCCACGGATGCTAAACAGAAACCTTCATCCCAAAAGTCTGCTCATTGTTAAGTAAACTCCCAACGAAAATATGTAAAATCACATTATATTAATAATCTTAGTCTTTGAAATGATAAGAATCTAGTAATAGTGTAATACTGATTCAATCATAATGACATATAAATCATAAGAATAGCTCTTTAAAAATATCATGATTTCATAACATATCAACACATAAGAGATACTTAATCGACAACATATTAATTCATAAAAATCTGATAATTTGGGACATGCATATGAAAATAACATTATTTTGACTCATATATTGTCACGACCCAAAAAATAGACGTGATGGCACTTGTTTATTCCCACCAAGACAAGTCAGCCTCAACCCAACGAAAATGAAAGAAATGCAAAATTATAAAGCAAGAACAAGACAAAGGCGGAAAACATATTAATTCCAAACAATACCCCAAAATCTGTTTGTCAAGTCTACAAGCCACTAAATACATAAAGTGCAGAATTAAGAAATAAGTACATGTCTTTGTCTTTGTTTCTCAAATAGAACAAAGCTTAAGGAAGAGAAAAAAGAGGGCCCGCTGGAATGATAAGCAGCTACCCCTCAAGTCCTTCGCGAGCCTCATCAAAAGAGAAGAAGAACGATCACGTCATACCACGCTTCGTAGCTGCAAAAGTGTAAAAGCAAGGAGTGAGTACCAACAACACAATACCCAGTAAGTGACCTACTAAATAAAACCTCTTCAAACTACAACCTGCACAGAAATCAGCTCAACCTAGATGTTCTATAATACACGGCTCACAAACCCAATATCTAAAGTTCCATAGTAAGAAATCAACAATCAAATGAATCAAATAAGACAATCTCAAAGTCGAGTAGTTCAGTCACACGCAATAAGTACATTAATCATAATTAACAAGAAAATCACACAAAAGAATCAAATGCATCAAATCACAATAATCAAACTCTTGTCGCAATAATTCACCATCAGCAAAATATCAGTAGACATAACCATTTCCCATCGGCTTTCCATTAATCACTAACCGGAATAATTTTCCTTTGGCTTTATAAACACTTACCGAAAAGGACCCTGGCATAATCGAAATCCCCGGCAAAGACCTTGGCATCATAATCCATCACATGTATCATCACGGTGTTCAACAATCAATGCACACAGGAAATATCACACCACACGAAAGAGACAACAAATCATACATTTCAAGTCCACATTCATGCTTTCAAGCATTTCATCAATTAATTAACAAGAGTCACAATAAGGCAATTCATGTCATCATGTTCATCACAGAGCCTTTTTCATGTCAACCCCTTTTTATTCATTTAGATGTATCAAGTGGACAATAAAACACTTCACCCCATTCTCATTACTCCTAACGCACAACAAAAGAAGGAAGTACACAAATTCTACTAGAATACAAGGTTTAGGAGATCACTTGCCTTAAATCAATAAATATTCACTCCAAGAGTTGAGTCTTCCCCTTTCGAATCACTTTCAAAGACACACAATCTATATACAAGCAAGTATTCACAATCACTTTTTGAAAACAACTCAATTATCTTGAAAAGTGGGTCAATCAACACAAAACCCAATTCTAAAAGTAAGATTTGAATCCAAAATTTTATGCTTGAAAACATTACTCAAGGCTTTAGGAACTCATTAGGAAAAGTCATTTTGAAAAAGGACTCAAAGACAATTCAAAATCTACATTTTAGTTAAGAGCTTGAGTTCTTGAAAAACCTCATCATTCACCAATCAAAATCTCATATTTTGATGTTAAAACCCATAAATAATCAAAGGGAAATAAAGGTTTAGGATCATAGAAGCTTACCCAAATGATTTAGCACCAAAACTTCTTTCAAAAATCTCCACCAAGGATTTCCAAAGCACAAAAATGGAAAATGGGGCTTAAACCCCAAAAATGGATGGTTAAAACCCCTCTCAGATGTCGCAAAAGCGACTAGGGGTTCGCTTAACAGTAAAAGATTGGGTCTCGCATAAGCAATCAAACCTTTGCTAGTGCAGAGGTCGCTTAAGTGAAGGTTCTTTGCAAATGCGAAGGTCGCTTAACAGTAAAAGATTGTATTTTTAGCTGCATTTAGCACTCTTTGTAATGTCCCTAAAGCCTATAGCGACACTGGATCTATTGGCACTTAACTAATGTCGGTAAAGACTTTATCACTCTTGGTTAATGTGTATATTTATTACCGCTAAAGGTTGCTTTTGTTGTAGTGTACACAAACCACAAATTCAAATCAATTATACTCAACATCTGGACCCAATGGAATCGTCAAAACACGAATCTGAGGTCTCCTTGTCCCGACATCTGGGAAAACCATGAGAAACGAAATCACAACTAAAAAGGCTAAAACAAGCTCGAGACCTATCAAAAATCAACCAAGACTACACCTAGGCCTAAAATCATCCCCCTGAATCCAACGAAACTCTTAGAATTCCGATCTGATCATCCGAACCCCGAATGTTGACTAAAGTCAACTGAAAGGCTAAAATTCCACAATTTCACAACTTAGGACCTAAAATCCTCAAAAAGACTTGGAATTTGAAACCAATAACTCTCACCGCTCAGATTTCACATTTCAGGATTGATGAAATAGATAAAATTTTGTTATGATATTCGAAACTCCAAAAGACCCCGAAAATGACTTTCTAACCAACTTAGCCTTTTAAACTCAAAAATTACTAAATTCTCAACTTTTAACTCAAACACCAAAACAAACTTTTCAAAACTCAATCATAGAAGACTCAGGGTCTATATCAGGAGGGAAAAATGGTAAAATTCATGGAAAACCCAAAAATGACAAACCGAGTCATTATGTTATCCACCACTAAAAACCATGTTCTTCAGCGACTATAAAGAAAAAGAAAGTACCTAGAGCTTTGAACAACTGAGGATATCTAGCACGCATCTCTGACTCTGTTTCCCAAGTCGCCTCACCAACTGAATGATGCTTCCACTGCACCTTCACTGAAGAAATCTCAGTGGTCTTAAGCTTCTGGACCTGTCTATCCAAAATTGCTATAGGCTCCTCCTCAAAAGATAAGTTTGGAACTAACACAACTGAATCAAGAGAAAGTACATAGGACTCATTTGGCATGTACTTTTGAAGCATGGTAACATGAAACACGGGATGCACAACTAACAAACTAAGTGGCAAGGCCAACTTATAGGCCACATCTCCCACATGAATCAAAATCTCAAAGGGTCCAATGAATATAGGGCTAAGCTTTCTTTTCCTTCCTAACCTCATTACACCCTTCATAGGTGACACTCAAAGCCTAACATGATCACCCTCCATGAATGCTAAAGCTCGAACCCTCTGATCCGCATAACTCTTATGTCGACTCTGGGTTGTCAACAATCTACTCTGGATCATACTAACTTCCTCCATAACATCTCTAAGAAAATCTACATCTAATGTATCCATCTCAGCTGAATCAAACCATCTTATCAGAGATCTACACCATCTGTCATACAAAGCCTCAAAAGGGTCCGTCTGAATAGAAGAATGATAACAGTTGTTGTAGGAATACTCTGCTAAGGGAAAATGTCGATCCCATCTAGCACCAAAATCAATCACACCAGTTTGGAGCATGTCCTCCAACACCTGAATCATCTGCTCGGACTGACCATATGTCTGGGGATGAAAAGTTATACTCATATCTAATCGAGTACCCAAATCATCCTGCAATGCCTTCCATAAATTTAAAGTGAACAAAGAACCTCGATCTGAGACAATAGAAATTGGTAATCCATGCAATAATACTATCTGACTGATATAAAGCTCGACTAACTTTTCCATTATTTACTTTACCCGAACTGGGATGAAATGGGCAGATTTGGTCAACCTATCAACAACCACCCAAATGGAGTCGTAATCACCCATGGTGGTAGGTAATCTCACAACAAACTCCATAGTGATCTGTTCCCACTTCCAAGTAAGAATGGGCATCCTCTGAGATATACCTCCAGGCCGTTGGTGCTCAAACTTGACCTGTTGACAGTCAGACACATCGAAATAAAATATCCAATATCCCTCTTCATACCACACTACAAATAGTGTTGGCTCAGATCATGATACATCTTCGCCGCACTGGATGGATGGAATATCGGTAGCAATGGGCCTCCTCAAGAACCAGTCTAATCAACTCGCCTACCTTGGGCACACAAATCCTGCCTCCAATCTGCAAGACACCATCAAAATCAAGAATAGCCTTCTTGGCTTCCCCTCTCATCATCTTGTCTCGAATGTGGCATAGCTTCTCGTCATCAAATTGGTGCTCACAAATCTGCTCGACTAAGGAAGAACGTGTCTCAATAAAAGCAATCAAACCACTGTTTCCTCATAAATTCATAATCGAATGAGACAGTTAGCTAATGTTTAAACATCTCTAGCCAATGGTCTCTCCTCCACACTAATAGCGGCAAGACATCCCATTCTAGAAGTATTCCTACTCAAAGCATCGGCCACCACATTAGCCTTCCCTGGACGATACAAGATGGTGATGTCATAGTCCTTTAGTAGCTCAAGCCATCTGCATTGCCTCAAGTTTAGATCTCTTTAACTAAAAATGTACTGAAGACTCCGATGATCTGTAAAAACCTCACAATGAACTCCATATAGATAATGTTGCCAAAGCTTAAGCACAAACACTAGAGCTGTCAACCCTAAATCATGGGTAGGGTAGTTCCTCTCATGGGTTTCAACTATCTAGAGGCATACGCGGTCTCTTTTCCTTTCTGTATAAGAACACCACATAGTCTAACTCTAAAAGCATCACAATACATGATGAATTCTACACCCTTCTTAGGTAAAGTAAAAACAGGAGCCGAAGTCAACAAGGTCTTGAGCTTTTGAAAGCTCTCCCATACTCATCAGACCACTGGAAGCTCACAATGTTTTGAGTCAATTTGGTCAAAAGAGATACAACGATGGAGAAGTTGTGCACAAATCATCAGTAATAGCCCGCAAGTCCCATAAAACATCAGATCTCAGTAACAAGCATAGGTTTGTTCTAACCTCTCACTTCCTCAATATTGGCTAGATATACCCAAATACCCTCCTTGGACACCATATGTCCCAAGAATGCCATAAAATCAAGCCAAACCTCACACTTTGAGAACTTGGCATAAAGCTTCTCTTCCCTCAATCTTTGGCATAAAGCTTCTCTTCCTTCAATCTTTGGAGTACAATCCTCAAATGTTGATTGTGATCCTCCTCAGTCTTAGAGTACACCAAGATGTCATCAATCAACATTATCACAAAGGAATCCAGATAAGGTTAGAACACCCCATTCATATACTCCATGAATGTTACAGGGGTGTTAGTCAAACCAAAAGACATCACAAGAAACTCATAGATCCCATAATAAGTCCTAAAAGTTGTCTTAGGGATATATGATGCCCTAATATTCGGTTGATGATAGACAGACCTCAAATCAATCTTGGAGAACAGAGATGCACCCTAAAGCTGATAAAGAAAATCATCAATACGAGCAAGAGGATACTTGTTCTTCACCATCACTTTGTTCAACTGTCGATAATCAATACACATCCTTATGGATCCATCCTTCTTTCTCATAAACAACACAGGAGCACCCCATGGAGAAACTAGGGCGGATAAACCCCTTACTCAACCAATCCTGCAACTGGTCCTTCAATTCCCTTAACTCAGTTGGAGCCATGCCATAAGGAGCAATAGAGATAGGATTGGTTCCCAGCTCCAAGTCAATAGCAAAATTAGTATCCCTATCTGGAGGAACACTTGGAAGATCAGTAGGAAACACATCTGAAAACTCTTGAACCACGGACACAGAATCCATGGGGGATGGCTCAACACCAGTATCCCAAATAAAGGCTAAATAGGGCAAACACCCTCTATCAACCAATCTCTTAGCTCTAATGAAGGAGATAACTTTGCTAGGGTAAGAACCACTAGCACCCATCCACTCTACTCTCGAGACACGTGACATCACTAAGGTCACAATATTAGCATAACAATAAAAAAACATGATGTGGAGAGAGCAAATCCATAACCAAGATAATGTCAAAGTATACCATTCCCAAAATGATCAAATCTACCCAAGTATCATACTCGGCCAAAGAAACAAGATAGGATTGATACACTCGATCCTCTACTAACGATTCATTCACTGGTGTAGAAACACAAATAGGCACACACATGCAATCAGACATCACATCAAATCCAACAAAAAAATAGGTAGACATTTACGAGAAAGTAGACCCCGGATCAAACAGTACATACGCAGGTTAATGGCAAACTGGAACGATACATGTGATCACAACATCAGAAGTCTCAGCCTCAGACCTCCCTGGAAAAGCATAACACTGACCATCGTGGCCATCTGCAACCTTAGTAGAACATGTACCTCCACCCTGCGGAGCTGGAGCACCCCTACCATAAGTCTTTCTACCTCTACCAATCTAAACTCTGCCTCGACCCCTGGCCAGATATGTTGAATCCCTAGTTGGAGCAGATGAATAAGAACGTTGAGGTCCTGAATGAGTCTACGAAGGAAACTGGCGCATCATATGACCTAGATCCTTACAAGTAAAACACGATCTTGGCACAGATAACTTCTAATGTGAACCGGACAAACTAACGTAGCCACCTCGACTAGAACCATAAGATCCTCAGGTTGGCTACCCAGTCTCAGCTGCTGGAATAAAAGCATTAACTGGACCATGACACTAGAAGGAGCTACTACCTTTATGAGAACCTCTGCATCCAGATGAGGACCCAAAAAATTGCCCAGAAGAATGGGCCCTTTTGGCCTCCCCATACTTCTCTAAAACCATCAACTCCACCTCCTTGGTGGTGCTCACAATGGACTGGAAAGAGCCCCCCTCTCTAGATGCCTTACACACATAAGACCTGACGGAGAAAGTCAACCCTCTCACAAACCTTCGAACCCTCTCTGCCTCATTCGAAACAATAGTCATAGTATGCCTAGAAAGCTCACAGAAAACTGCATTATACTCGATCACAAACAAACTGCCCTAATTCAAGCTCTCAAACCTCAATCGACTATCCTCCCTCACGCTCCAAGGAATGAAACAATCCTAGAAGGCACTAGAGAATGCATCCCACTTAATTAGGGAAGATCTAACTGGTCTAGACCTCAAAAAAGACTTCCAATACTCTTTAACACAACCACAAAGCTGAAGTGCAACAAACAGAACACCACGAGCATCCATCATACCCACTGACACAAATTCAAGAACTCATGAGCATCCTCACTGTTACCACCCTGAAATTGGGGTGGTTTCAACTCCTGAAACCTCTCGTAATAGTGTTGCTCAGATGTCGTCAGAATAACCATAGGAGAAATTTGAACAACCACAATTGGTGCCAGAACCACTGGAGGCTGACCCACCTGATCCTGAATACCTGGAAGCCGCTACTGATTTGGGGTCTGTGCCCCTACCCTCATCTGAGAACCCCTATGGCGTACCTTTTGCACCACCTTGAGAGAAGTTGTCCAACACACCTAACAGCCTCAACAAAGTCTCCAGAAACAAAGGAGCTCCAAACATGGGAGGAACCTAGTCCTCAAAAACCTCAACATGTAGCTCAAGAGAAGCCTCTCTAGCTCTACCTATAGTTGGTACTGCTCTACAGGCACAACCTCTAGCCGGTGCTACTACATGATCACGACCTCTAGATCGGGCCTACTCTACCCCTAGCTAGGGTCTCAACAACAGCCTCGGAGATGACCTCCACTCTATAACTAGAAACAGAAGCTCTGGTCATCGGTATCTGCCAAAAAAACACACGGCAACTCAGCACTAGCGAAAGTTATCATGCACGATAAAAAAGGATGAAAAGATAAGTACATACGTCTTTGTACCGGTCCTCAAGATTCTACTTAGAATTGGCTTGTACACACGTGAGACCTATGAATGTGGGGCTCTAATACCATTTTTCACGACCCAAGAAAATGGATGTGATGGTACTTGTCTATTCTCACTAAAACAAGTCAACCTCAACCTACCAAAAATGAAAGAAATGCAGAAATATAAATCAAGTACAAGACAAGGGCGGAAAACTTATTCATTCTAAACAATACCCCAAAAGCTTGTTGTCACATGTATAAGTCACTAAATATATAAAGCGTAGAATTAAGAAATAAGTACAGGTCTCAGTCTTTGTTTCTCAAATAGTACAAAGCTTAAGGAAGAGAAAAAGAGGACCCGCCGAGATGACAAACATCTACCTCTCAAGTTCTT